GCGCTGTGGAAAAACGTGGGAAAATTTTTAAATCCCAAAAATCTTTAAATAAACAAAAACAAAAGTAAACCAAAAACGTGTAAAGATAGTAGCAAGAAAGCATGAGACCACAGACAATTTGAGAAGAAGAAATATAATAGAATGACGTGGCGAGGATGTTTAAAATGAGCTTGTCAAGATAGAGGATGTACTAGCTTATCAACTTTATGCTTTCAAACGTCAATAAGACCACTTAATGTTTATAATCAAAATATTTGCAGACATGATAAATTTAATGAATGTATGTGCGGTGCCTTTATGCGTATGAGTGCTTACGTGTGCAGTGCAAGAGTTGAATATAACAGTAATAGCACGCTAAGATGTTTGATGAAGACAAATGTGCATAATAAGTAATAATAGTAGGAAACGAACGGTCAATGAGCTTTCGACATGTGTAGGAATTAGATAAATTTAATAATAAAGCCCATGCCAACAAGCCATCTTGCGCGATAAGGCAAGCCTCACATCACGTCACATCATATCACATCCTACCATATCACAACAGGTTATAACAACAACGCTCATTAAAACAAGGCAAATAGTCTTTCGGCTTGGTATGTTGTGATGAATATAACATATCCAGTAGCTATCTAACAACCGTAAAACTTTACAAAAACTTAACTACCTTTCAGATATTTCATTAATAATAATTAATTAATTAATTAATTAATTAATTAATTAATTAATCAGATGGTAGTGTTTTTCATTTATATGATAATTCTATAAAAATAAGATAATTATAAATAAGAATTATATAATTCTCAATCAGTCATAAAAATATTAAATTTCATAATTTTAACACCATAAAACCGCGTCGGGACATAAATAAAGAAAGAGATATATGAACAGGGAGCATGTGTTGTGTTGTATTGAATTCCACGTGGTCCGTGAAACCACTAAATCACGTGCACGTGCGTGCAGATTGCAGTTTGAGTGTTGCAAACTTCTTTCCGAAACGTCAACACAAACTTCTCTTTCTACACCAATATTTGATTTGATGAACGATCCACATGTCAAACGTGCGAGCAAATATGGTTGCATATATGTGTGTGTGTATGCATGTGCGTGTGTATACATAAGCTGATGGATGGATGGATGGATGGATGGATGGATGGATGGATGGATGGATGGATGGATGGATGGATGGATGGATGGATGGCTGGATGGATGGATGGATGGATGGATGGATGGATAGATAGATAGATAGATAGATAGATAGATAGATAGATAGATAGATAGATAGATAGATAGATAGATAGATAGATAGATAGATAGATAGATAGATAGATAGATAGATAGATAGATAGATAGATAGATAGATAGATAGATAGATAGATAGATAGATAGATAGATAGATAGATAGATAAATAGATAGATAGATAGACAGACAGACAGACAGATAGATACACACTATATGTAAGCAATATTCATTATAACCATATTGTTCCTGGTTCATAATTGCATTGGATAGTTTTCTCAGACGGAGCAGGATTTCAAATCGAATAATAATAACAACGATAAAGTAAACAATTACGGTGATGATGAAGATAATAATAATAATAGTAATAATAATAATATAATAATTATAATAACAATAATAATACTAACAGCAATAATAATAATTTTACAATAAAACCAGTTAAACAAATGCGCAGAGTTCAAAATCACGAATCCTTTATTCGTTAATGATAGTAGAGGCATTCGGTATTTTGGTTATCTAGCCCCTGATTTTCTAATAGCAGCCAGACCACTTTTTGTATAATTTTAGTTATCCATTTTTCCATTCCAGCTGTCATTGCAAGGTTTCCTGATTTTCGAACTCGATCATGGTGGCATCACATCCTCATTAGGTACTAGTTGAATTAGTACTCATGAAAAAACTTTCAATAAACCACACCAACATTAACTTCCAGTCAACCACCTTTCTATCTTACTGTTGTTCATTATTTTCGCGCTGCGTTCTGCCTCATCTTTAAATTGCAACTATTAAAGTGTACACCATGATCATCCTCGTCAGTTAGTTATACAAACAGTTTAAAAATTAGGAATTGTTTTTAAGCCTAGAACGGTTTCAATGAATGTTGAAAATTGGAGATATTTCAAGAATTAAATAAATTTTAATGTTTGAGACAAAAGAAAGAAATGAACTTGTATAGGCGTAATCTTAATGTGGTAATAAGAGCAGCATGTCTCACCTCAAAGCCACCCGGTTCGAGTGCAAAAGGAATTCCGACCATCAGTGCCAGCTGATTCGCACGCACGCACATGTGCACATGTGTTACATGTTCTGGGTGTTTTAATGTTGAATCTCCTCTAGAAGAGAAGAGCAAACGTTAACAAACGCTACAAGGCACTATATATTTATCTATATAACGTATTAAACATTTATCTATATAATTTAATTTCAGGCCAGCAGGCAAAAACAAGCCAGATGCAATCATTCTGGGTTGACAAGCTTATAACTATCTAACTTACTAACAAACTAACTAGCTAACTGGCTGCCAGCCACAAATGACTCAAGAGAAGATCCTGTTTATAATTGTTTCTGTAATTGTTCAAAACTGCTTCAACGTAAAATTATAAACAAGCGGTGTGCGTATGTGCTTGCTCTCAGGTTAATAATCAACTTCATAATTTTCATGAACATTATTATTTGAAAAGGCATATTCAAATCATTTAAAAGATTGTATCACTGCTGGTTGGTTGGCTCAGCTCGCCTCCAACATTGAGATCAGGTGATCAATGTTGTGATTGAGGCTAAAACTCATCAGATGTATAAACTGACTATGTGGACAGGCATATGCAGTTGTTGTTTATACAATAATGCACTTACAAAGCTATGAAACTAATATGCTAAACAAATATTTCGCTTCGTTATGCTAAAGAATATATAACTGTACATAAGTATATAAGTATGTAAGTGTATAGTGTATAATGGCTCATATCAGGACAGATAAAATACAATGCGTTCAGCATAGACGTTTCATTTTCTGAGTAGCCACTATCAGAGTCTCAACATCTCACATAACAACGCTGTTAGCTTCAGCATCAGCTATATGGTTGTTTGCAGTGTTTATCTTAATGTAATTATGAACTGCCAACTGTTTACAGGTTTCCTAGAGCAAATTATCATCATATGATTAGGAAGTATGATTTATAGCCATGCACAAAAACTGGCTGATCATATTTTGATAGCAGGTAGTTGGGCAGGCAAACCCCGAACCATCCATAAAATGTTTGGGGGGTTTAGAAATTATTTAAATTGAATAATGAAAATTAAAAGATGATGCATAAAGCGCCGACGTCTCAAGTTTAATGATAACAAGAACACTCACAAAGATACAACTCCAACTGAGATTATTACAAAAGAATCAAGATGGACTGAACAAATGTGAACCTAGGAACGACGACGAATTAACTTTTAAAATGAGCATTTCTACAACATCAAACAATATAGGTTAGCGCAGTGTTGAAAATGTGTAAGAAAATATGATACTTAATTTTTTATGTACAATATTCAATAACTTGTTAAATAAACTAAACGCATCAGTTGCATCAGAGGGCGCAAACAGGTGATCAGATGAGTGTGCGTGTGTGCGTGCGTGTGTATGCGTGCAAAAACTGAAAAATTTGAAAATAAATAATTTAATATTTAAGATCTGAAACGACATCTATGGGATGAAATGAACTATTCAAAGGCTAGCCACTAGCAACCAATCCAGAAGTAAATGGATGATGGCTCTTGTACGCTGTCACATATTGTAAATCATGGCAGAAGAAGTTGACAAATTATGTAAGTAACAATAAACAACATGATGATGAACATTTTTCAATACTATGAAATTTAAAAAATGCAGATTTTAGATAAATATAAAATTATGAATAAAAATCGCAAAAGCTTCATGAATGTAATCTTATTATTTTACAAAAAGTATAATCACAGGAACAAACATAATATATATTTTTCTTTTTAAATTAAATCTTAAAAAGTAGGGTGCCAATCGGATTTAAGAAGTTTAAAAAACTAAATAATTCAGTCTTTAAATTGAAATCAATATTAACATTCAATTGGACAAGGTATAGTAAAACTGTAAAAAAAATTAGTAAAAAAACCAAAATTGCTGATATGGTACAATAAGGCATTAAATTAGCATTGTTAAATCACAATATCCCAGTAAATGCCGAAATTATTTCAAATATAAATATAAATTTATTGATTGAACAGGTGATAATATAAATAATGCTTGATTCAATGTTGTTTAAAATTAAAATATATATCTATTACTAAACATTTTCAAAATAGCCTCCAAATTTGTCTTCACAATAAGGCATGGTCAGTTTATTAATGATAAATTTAATGTTTAAATATCTCAATTTGAAAAAATAACATGGCATTTAATACACATTCGAATGGATCTGACCAAATCCTAATGTATAAATAAAGTATTATAAAAATTACAAAACCAGTAGAAAATATAAGACAACAAAATTTGTGTTAATAAATCTACAAACACATGTTTTCTGACAGATGACAATGAATCACAATTCAATCACATCATCAGTTTATTTTATTCAATCATGTTCATAAATATTATAAATATACACATCTCATTAAAATTAAATAAAATTGTTGTACAACAACTACAATCATTTTTCATCATACTTCAGTAATTGTAACATTAGTTCTGACCCAACAGAGCTACATAATTTATAAATAAAAAAATAGGAAGCTGTTTTGGAAAGTTTAGAATAACGTACAGACACAAAGGAGAGATGTTCCGAAGTACTAACTATAAAATAAGAAATTAACTGACAACTGACATGTTAAAAATGAACACATGTTAACAAGACAGGTCAAATGAAAACTACCACTGATTTTTTTTATAACATAACATAACGTACAGACAGAAAGGAAGGAGAGATGCACCAAAGTACTAACTAACTATTTAGTATTTACTAACATATTCTCCTGCAGAACTCCATAGACCAGGTAGGTGATGAAGATGCCAGCATTGCAGATGATGAACTGACGCTTGTTCGAGCTCAAGTGGACGCTGGATTTGAAGAAGCTGCCACTGCTACTGCTACTGCCGCTGCTACTGACGTGGGACTTTTCGTAAGAGTAGACTGGCCCTGTCTGACCCGACATTTCAACAGCTGATCGCAACTTTTAAACGCCCGGAATGTAAGAGCCGGCTATGAAAGCAATGTTTGTTTACACTTGCCTGAATATCGCTCATAGCAGCGAGCAATTGTTGGTCTATGTGTTGCATCTCTATTGGCTGGAATTTTATATTTTTTCTCGAAGTTTGTTCTAATACGTGTCGGGTTGGATCTGTAAATTTTAGTTCATTTCTGATTATTTGCTCATTAAATGTGACTGGAATGTTTGAAATTATCATAAAATTATTCGCCCTATCATCAATTTTGTTCGAAGTGCAAGGGCCTGTATTGTAAGTACAGGCGCATGTACCTGCATGAATCTTTGCCAACCAAGACCTTCCAAGAGTCAACGAGTCAATCTTATATACTTACAAAAATGATTTTTGCTCTATCTTCATCTGATAAATTTGTATCTAACAGTGAATCAATTTCCATCGGCTTTCAAGTCTTTATTGGACTGTTGAAAAACATTTGTTCATGTTTTCATGGTATAAGTTCCGGTTTAAGAAAGAAAGTAGTAAAGTTAAAAATTGTGCCCGTCCCATTGAATTACAATCAATCAATCAATCAATCAATCAATCAATCAATCAATCAATCAATCAATCAATCAATCAATCAATCAATCAATCAATCAATCAATCAATCAATCAATCAATCAATCAATCAATCAATCAATCAATCAATCAATCAATCAATCAATCAATCAATCAATCAATCAATCAGTCAATCAATCAATCAATCAATCAATCAAATAGCTTGTAAAGCGCTATTTCCGCGATGTTCAACAGCGCTCCTCAGTGAATTTTACAAACAGATGGGTCTTGAAATTCGCCCTGAACTTTGCAAGTGATGGAGAAGTTGGAGGTAGAGAGTTCCAGAGAAAAGGGCCAGAAAAAGCAAACGCAGATTTAGCAAAATGTGTTTAACACGAGTTTAGAAAAAGTGAGAATAAGAAGACGATCGTGAACCGGGGTGTTTAGGTTTAATTAATATACATCTGTTAAGTATGCCGGTTCCTCGTAGATCCGCTTCTGTGTAGTCTAAAAAAAACCTGAAAAACACCTGTTTCATTGCAGCGATTTTGCACTGCCTAGTCAGAGTGCCAACATTATTTAAAATTGCCTAATCTTTTCACACAGTATCAGCTCGGTTGCTCAGTTGCGGATATTAGCAGAGTATGACCAATATTGTTCCAAGAGAAATAGTTTAAAATGTTTCTAACAGGAAACTATATGTCTTGCGGCAAACGGGAGAACGCTAAAAAAATATTTAACATAAAAAATTTTATATTTTAAGAAATAGGCAACTTAAATATTTGAATATAATATAAGCAGATTATTTTTTAATAGAAATAGATGTTAATAATAAAAATGTTCACAACGACAGTCGAAAAACTAACAACCATTTCGACGACGATGAACCGATCACTATGAAACCAAGAGACAAAATATTTTCATCCTTATTATTTAGTTATGAACAATTTTCGCTATTTATTTATTAGGTTTAATTAATAGTTTTAATATATATGTTAAAATTTGTTTTATTATTATTAGAATCTTTGCTTCACTTTTCTTTTTTCGTTCATGCAAGTTGTTTGGTGAGTAATTATTGTTCTTATTAAATATTATTTTTGTTACTCATTATTATTATAATCTCAATCCTATTGCTGTTTAATTTAAATCAAAAAATAAAACAAAAATGTTTATACTAGAAACTAAAGATAAACTAAACATAGTGCTCTGCCATGGAGCTGAGTTGACCTGTTAATACTTTTTTAGTGCATGTAGATTTGCATTTATAATTTATATATTATATTTGCTAAGGTTATATATTGGTAAATTTTGGCAAAAATCATTCTCTTAACCCATACCAAAGTTTTTTTTATTTTTGTCAAAGGTAATGTTCACAAGTTTGAACTTCAAAGTTTGAACTGTTAAAAAACTTTTTATTAGTTTGATGTTCAAACTCAGAGTAAAAAAGCATTGGTAAAACTAAAATTAAAAGACATATTATGAAAAAACCTATTAAATAAAAAATATTTATATTTAAATGTTTTATGAAACGAAAAATTATTTATTATTGATCCTTATTTGTTATTTATAACATTTTAACTGTATTGAAATTAAAAATTATACAAAACAATAATAAATGTTATTGAACTCCATCATCGAAATGAAAAAGTTAAAAATTGCAAAAAATCCATTTATGCGTGCATTTCAAGGTATTTATATATTTTAATAGACAATTTCATCCTCTATCGTATAAATATCGTATAAGTATCGTATAAAACAAAACTGTCTCCTGTTTCATGCACACCTCCAAATATTAGATTGAATGTGTCACCCATACATTTCTAAGTGTGAAAATCCGAAAGCAAGAGCCTATCATTTCCATTAATTCCATTATCGTCATCATTGTAAACATGTTCGATTAGATTGGAATGACTTTCTTCATAGATTGTTGATTCATGTAACTCATCAAAATGACTATTTAAAGGAGTTTTTTCACCGAACATGTTATATGAAAGAATGAAGTAATCAAATTTATCATACGTGTATAACTTTTGGCCTGCAGTATTACGTTAAAGCATTTATATAAAATTTAACATCTTTTTTACTAAAATTTTATTTTAAAAATCGAGCTATGTTTTTAAAAAAGTGCTTTATTATTATTTGATTTTTTGGGACACGTTCGCTAATACACCATTCAAATGCCATTGCCAAATAACCTCTCAAATCAACTTCAATCCAACCAGTCAAAAAGGCTTTTATCATTGCCACTGAAACTTTGTCTGTAACCGCGTTCAAATGATTTCGCCAGGTGTTTACCTTTATTATAACCTGGCTTTTAAGATTTATCAAATGATATGCAACTGAAACTGTATCATGGCGATCGCTCATAAAATTGAGAATTTGAGTGTAACCTTCATTAGGACCATCCCCAAGATCCACAACTTTTGGCTAAGCCTCCACATTTTTCAACCAGGGCAACTTTTTTAAAAATTTGCTTTTTTGCAACTCGGGAAGTACAGATGACGCATGAGACCATGGCAGCATTTAACTTTTTTTGGTGTGTGTTTAATTGTGTTGTTCCTTTGAAAATTCCTATCTCTGTCACTGCATTCTTTTGCTGCTCAGAAATTTCTGACAGCCATTTGTCATCACTGGCCAGATATAGGTTTTCTTTGTTACTATTTGATGTAGCTAAATAGTGACAACACTGCATTCTACAATGGATAAGAAATGAACAGTTGCAAGATAGATGCAACACTGGTTTTTCTATAAATTCTGCTTTTCGAAATTCTATATATATTAACTCAAACGCAAATTTTGATAGCATTTCATAACAGTGATTTAAGCAGGTTGGCAAACCAGATGGTGTTTTCATCATCCTGTTGAATGCAGTGCGTGATACTGATGATGTTGATGATGCACTTCTGCCAACTGTAACAGCTTGCGAATTAATGATGGAATAGAGCTTTGAGACGTTTTAATTTCTAGTATATCATTGTCAAATTTTTCCTTCACGGGACAATACACCAGATGCTCCAGCAACTTAAAATTAAATAAATAAATAATATGAAGTGGTAAAATTTACTTTGCAGTTTTATCTATTTTATAATCATCACAAATTAAATTAACTACCTTGTGCAAGTGTTGATTGATATTCATTCTCCGTTTTTCCATTTCTTCTATAAATGATATCGACAAAGGTGCACATTAGCATTAAAGTATCAGCATTGATAGAATTTATTTCATCATAATCTTTTTCAACAATGAATATACTTATATTGCTGACATTATCAATGCTTAAAAAATATTTCTTGCCACTGAATGGTCTGTAACCGCATTCAAAAGATTTCGCCAGGTGTTTAACTTTATTATAACTTGGCTCATGTCATTGCCATTGAATGGTTTGTAACCGCTGTCAAATGATCTCGCTAGTTGTTTACCTTTATTATTACCCGGCTTATAAAGTTGGCATTGAATGGTCTGTAACCACATTCAAAAGAATTTGCCAGGTGTTTAACTTTATTATAACCTGGCTCCTGTCATTGCCATTGAATGGTTTGTAACCGCTGTCAAATGATCTCGCCAGATGTTTGCCTTTATTGTAACCCATCTTTTAAAATTCATCAAATGATAAGCAACTGAAGCTGTATCATGGCGATCGCTCATAAAATCGAGAACTTGAGCGTAACCCGCATTAAGACCTACCACGGACGTCATTTGCGCTTGATAGCAGCCGAGTACAAAATGTTTGAATTTGCAGTAACCTGTAAGTTATCGGTGATATCATCTTCTAACATACTGGCTGATTGTTTTTTTAATTGGATTTGTTTTTTGTACTAAGTACTGCGGTTTCGTTAGTGTGATTTGTAGTTTACTTTTTTGACTATTAATGTACAAAAATTTTTTAGGAGTAGGCCTAAATTGAAAAAACAAACAAAAAACCATCCTCTATCTCAACAACCATAATCTTTTTTAACACATAATATACCTTTATTGCTCACATTATCAATGTTTTAAAAATATTTCTTCATTTAATTGAACATTGTCAATTTTAGTTGAAAAATATTCTTTTTTTCCTTTACACTTATATTCTGTTATAATAACGTATATATAATTTTAATATAATAAAATCGTTGACGAAAATGTGCTAAACAATTTTTCAATTAGAAATCCTCACATTTTCAAATCTTATTTTATGTTTTTTTATATTACAAAATGTATTAAAAATTTATTTTAAATTTCGTTTATGAATAGACACACTTAAATGTTTCTAAGGAGTTGAAAGAAGCCTCGTAATTTATGTATGTATGTACACTGTATGGTATTACAAATACACGAGTCGTTTTTTGTTTGTTGCACAACTTTCAAATGGCGCACTATATAAAATTATAATAAAAATATATAATAATAATAATATTATTATTAATTTTATTATTAACTCATCAAACTTCCAACACACTCATTCATTCATTCACCATTCATTCATTTCTGTGCTAGTAAAATATTTTTAAAGCATTATTTTTCTCTCATCAAGTTAGTCCTTGATATTTTATTGGCTGAATATTTTTGATTAAAATATCACATTTATACTGGTTGGAGAGGGTTAACCTTTTATCGCTACAGATCATAAAATTTTTGCAACTATCGATTGACCATGAAGTTGTTGTTCATTGGAACTTTGTCCTATAGTCAAATCTTGAATTTTAACTGCTTTATCTTCTGTCATCCGCAACACGGATTCCAGATATTGTCTTTAGCTTTTGGTGTGCAAAAAATCTTTGGAAAGTATAAGTTCTACATCGGGGATATCTAGCTTGGCGATTTTTGGCTCTAGTCTTAGTAGCCAAGTAAAACCAACAGCACCCCAAACATTTTCAAATCTTGTGTTAAGTTGTTGCCAGCAGTCCTTGTAACAGGAGGGTTATAATTTTTCTTGATTATGATTATGGAAGACGATTCTGAAGACTTTGTCAAAGAAAATGAACACAACAACAAACAGGTCAGGTGTCCTAAAAATGAAGATGCAGAAGACTATTGTCATCTGGATTGAGAATATCTAGAGATATCACAAAGTAAGCAAGCTTCATGTTTTATTTATTTTTTTGCTCATTTGTTCAATTTAAAATTTAAAATTAATACAATTTATTTATAATAGGTCACTAACAATTCAACTTGCTATGTCCAAAGCATAATAATACTGCAACATGGTGGCAGAGGACTTGCCTCCTTGGGCACTCACATTGTGCATTGATTATGATTATGGAAGACGATTCTGAAGACTTTGTCAAAGAAAATGAACACAACAACAAACAGGTCAGGTGTCCTAAAAATGAAGATGCAGAAGACTATTGTCATCTGGACTGAGAATATCTAGAGATATCACAAAGTAAGCAAGCTTCATGTTTTATTTATTCTTTTGCTCATTTGTTCAATTTAAAATTTAAAATTAATACAATTTAATTATAATAGGCCACTAACAATTCAACTTGCTATGTCCAAAGCATAATAATACTGCAACATGGTGGCAGAGGACTTGCCTCCTTGGGCACTCACATTGTGCAAAAGCGATTTTCAAATCTTGTCCAAAACATACCTACAATTTATATTAAAGTATAACTTTTGCTGTTTTCAGTAATTAGTAAAACAAAAAAGGACATTTTATTTCTTTCATCATCATCATTGTTATGTTATAACTATTTCAAAACATTTAATTGAGAAAAAAATAAAATATCAATGTTATTAATTTAATAAATACTAAAATTGATTACTGTTTATGACCACTTATTCAGAGTTAGTAATGAAAAAGTCCTAAAATGAAAATGTAGAATGTGGCGAGGGTCGTCTTGGTGTTCTCCCCTACTGCTTCTTCCGTCGACACGCTCGTCTTCGCCGAACTTGATGTGAAATATCCCAAACAGTGGCGCTTCTTGAATTTGAAAATGCTCTGCAGATACTTTGGACCTGTAAATCTGAACGAACGAACGAACGAATCTGAACGAATTTGATTTACGGCATGAGGTTTAAAGGAAATTTATTCAGGCAACGATTCACTGAGTGAAAGTTCGATGACGCACCTGATTCCATGGATTGTTCAGTTGATGCTATCCATGAAGGCAAATAACCTACTTTTCAATCTGCACAGGCTGATTTGTCAACAAATGAAAAACTCAATCATCAAGGTGAAAATGTCCGCCATTCGAACAATCGAAGATGTTGCAATTGGAATGTGTAGCTCAAATGAACTGCTCCTTCCAGAAACAGCGCCCTACCTGAAATGTTGGAAGACGATTCTGAAGACTTTGTCAAAGAAAATGAACACAACAACAAACATGTCAGGTGTCCTAAAAATGAAGATGCAGAAGACTATTGTCATCTGGACTGAGAATATCTAGAGATATCACAAAGTAAGCAAGCTTCATGTTTTATTTATTCTTTTGCTCATTTGTTCAATTTAAAATTTAAAATTAATACAATTTATTTATAATAGGTCACTAACAATTCAACTTGCTACCACCCCATGCAGTTTTATGTCAGCAACGCAAAAATTCTTCTAACAGTTGAGGCATTCTCCAACATCAGTCTTGAGGCGGATCATGTTGCATCAGTTCTTCTTAAAATTTTCAATTTGACGTTATTTCTAAATGAATAAGAAAATAAGACAAACAGAAGAAAAATATGAGGTAGAAAAAAAATTTCTGTTGAACATTTAGAAAAAGTATCACCATTTGGTGCCAAAGCGTTGTGATTCTCTGTAATGTAGAAAAACTTCAAATATCAACGTAAAAGCAATTGATTAAATTACTGAACTAGAAACGAAATTTCTGGCAAATTAGGAGGGTCATAGAAATTCACTCAAACACACTCAACGAAATGTTTGATGTAAGAAAATTCATTAATCTTCTTTCAAAAGTAAACTACAAAGTTAGTGTTGAAGAACAGAAGAAAAATATAAAAGCAAAAAAAAATTCTGTTTGAAATTTGAAAAAGTCACCATTTGGTGACTTAGTAAGCTTGATAAAGCATTGCTGCAAAGAGATGATTCACAATTGACAAAATTGATTGATGTAGTTTTATCTGTTGAAAGATAACTTTCAGAAAATTCCAAAAAAAGTTGATGAAATTTTGCTTGACGGTTTCCGAGTGTTTGTCGATGCTGTAAAACACATTTCTCAACATAGATTGATTCCATTGTTCAAGCAGCTGGTTAGCTGTGATGTTGATGAATGTCTGTGGAAGTTGTTAATTTTGATAATTGAATCAAACGTCAGATGAATGAAGCGATGCTACAAAAGTTGATCTGGATGTTACAACAACAGATAAACAGATGCAGAATATTGCTTTTGATATCATTGCAGTTTCATTATAAGACTAAGCAGCTGAGACTTGGTTGAAAACAATGATCATACTGGGAAAGTTTCTTGATGGATTTATATCAGAGTCCTAGGAAAAAGTGATTCTTCGATAGCTGTTGTTGATTCAAGTATCAGAAATTTTTCTCAATTATGTAAAGAGTTTTTACTTAATTCCAATAAAATTATTTTATCGGCTGTTTCTGACAAAGATTTCGTAAGAGAATTCTTGTGTAACATGGATGTAAGTAAAGGATAGCAACAAGGAAATCGAAGTTTCTTTCAAAGAATTTGTTAATAATTTCATAATTCATATGCTGAACATAACAGGGCAACAAAAAAAAAACAACCTGCATCAGAGAAAATCTTTAAAAAGTGCTAATTTTCTCTTATTAAAATCATCTACAGCACAAGTTAGATGCAAAGGATTCAGTTGTGTTTCATGAACTTGAAAATGATCTGCAGATTGTTTGGACCTGAAAATAAATGACTTGACGTAGAATGAAAATATTTGCACTGATTCAATTCTCTTGTTCGTCATTTATCTGTCAGAAGTAACCTTCAGGCCAATGTTGCTGAAGCTGTTCAAGTCTTTAGACGACGATTGGTAACTTTTTACCATTTAGTTTTCAAATGATCTTAAAAATTAAGACATATTCAACATTTTTGTTAGCGTTCTTATAAAACAAATGGCAGATATTCTTGTTCAGCATGATACTACAAAGTTAACTGGTGATAATGCAACAGGTAAATTATGTGCGGCGAATGTTATTTGCATGACGTTGATTCGGGGACAGGGGATGCCCTGTTTAAGCCCTTAATTAGTCAAATGGAATACTATTCAGGCAATAACTTCACTGTATGAAGATTCGATGACGCACCTGACTCCATGAGTTGTTCAGCTGTTACTATCAATAAAGGACAATAACCAACAAATGAAAAACTCAAACTTCAAGGTGAGAATGTCCGCCATTCAAAGTGTTGCAGGTGGAATTGGTAGCTCATATGAACTGCATTTTCCAGAAACAGCACCCTACCTAGCTGAACTGTTGAAAGACGATTCTGAAGAGGTTGTCAAAGTGAACGTTTAAAAAAATTTCTTCAGAAAACCATTGATTATGAAACATTTTTTAGTTTTTTTTTCTTTTCATTTTGTATTTATTCCTTTCAATTTGTGATTTTTATTAATGAGCACGTTTATTTTATAGTTTATTATATGATAATATTAGTTTCTGTTGAAAATTTTTTAATGAAAATACAGTTTTTTAGTTTTACGTCCTACCTCGGGGAACCGGGACTCTGGACGCAAAACGAAGATTGATTGATTGATAGTTTTTGTTTCTTTCAAAAATTTGAATACTTGCTAAGCGCAATTGAGTAAAAAAGTGCCACCGCTGAAGATGGAGATGAATGCAAATAGGATGAATGTTGCAGTGTAAGGATTGGGCCGTAGGTAATGGGGGAACTTTAGATTTGTGGGGGTGATGCTTGTGTGTCCGGCTATCTCAATTACACTTAAAAGTGAAATGAGGCATTTTTGAGCGTTGAGCTGGAAAAAATTTTACGTTAGCTTTTATCAATTTAGTATCTGATCGGTAATGAGGCCTGTCCCTGTCTTCCGTCATCGGGTTCCAGTGCGCAATGATTCTTTCTAGCGTTTCCACGTACTCTCTCATGCTTTTTGTGTTTTTTATTAGCTATCTGGATTTTAATAATAATTTTATTAGCAAACAGTAATTAAAGTAATTTATTTGTGGGTGTATGTGTGCGTGTTTATATGTGTGCGTGTGCATGTATATGTGTGTAGGGGTGAGCACGTGAACTTGACACACACCACGATTAAATTTTAATAACGCGATCAGATGGACGATCAGATAAGCGGACGAAACTGGACGGCGGACAAATTTGGAATATTCAAAATATTTTATTGGAGATATTTGATTAGAAGCAATCTTGTCATTCAATTGAATGGCGCCAGATAACATTAAACAATCCCCTCCCCTAACAATACGACTCCATTGATATTGATCTATTCGGCGTTTCTAAGAGCGCCATAGATAGAAAAATTGATTGACTTGTAGAAAATGATTAGTGGGGCGATTAAAATATCTTTAATTGAAAGCCGAAACACCTAACATCAACAAATATGAAGGGCGTAATATAAATGATTTTTTTTCTTTTTTACAGTTCTCCCGTTAGTACCTCAGGTGTATCGGCAACAGTCAGACAGTCTATGCTGCAAATCACTTGAATCAACCCATCTCTTTTTCCATGCATTGAGCCTGATAAGCGTGGAGCTTTTCGTAGTCGAACCTAGTCACTGCATTTTCAGCGCCACTTACTCATTGTTTCAGCATATTTGACTAGCTGTTTCTAAAATTTAACCTTATTTTGTTGTCGTGGTGGGTTTAAAATAGGTTTTCAGTGAAAATTTTGAAAATTTTTCTACAGATTTCCTCTAATTTAGTCTTAGCACTAGCCAAACGTTCCATCGGGGTTGGGCTTTAACTGTGTGTTGTTGTGAATAAGGCCAGTCCTCGGTGACATATTATTTTATAATAGTTTCATTCATCATATTCTTAACTAATCGTGACATTTTTCTCCGAATTAAATGTAAATCTGAAATATTTGTCTTATTGAAGAGAGACAATGCTTCTAAAATCTGAAGTCTATACGTAAAAGCTCTTTAAAGATGCAAGTTCAATGGTACAATGCAGTCAATGAATGTGGTTAGTGACAAGAAGCAAGAAAATATCGCAGACATTTCATCAACTCAACTAAAATATACTCCAATGATTTTGCATTATAAATAGACAAAAATACACCAAATATTCATCCTAGTTTGTGGAAATACGCTAACATAATTTTTAAACTGGAGCAACTTGTGCAAATGTATTTATAGAGGAATGTCTAATGTGTTTGCATTACCATTACTTCAATTCAATCTCTTCCTAAGAATATTTTAGAGACAGCTGGTCAAATATGCTGAAACAATGAATGAGTGAGTAAGTGGGCGAGTGAGTGGGTGCGTGAATAAATAAAAGAATGATTGAAGGAACGTGTGAGTGAATGAATGTACGTGCAAGTTTCCTGGATAAATATGGTGACGATGATGATGACTAGGGGATAATGGTGAAGATCATTTGGATGATGATGATAATGACGATGATTGGGTGATGATGAAGACGGAGATGGTTAGGGATACCATGATAAGAATGATGAAATTGGTGAAATAAATGTGGGGATAAAAAAGGTGATGATACATAGAGGGGAGTGAGTGAGATTGATGATCGGGTTTGCGATGGTGTTGTGTTGACGATCGTAGTTCAGCACAGATGGTGGGTGGTAGCTTTCACCACAATGGTGTTGATGCAACGATAATTTAAGTGAAGTTTTTATGGGGGTGGCGATAATACGGATATGTTCACAATTGAACATCCCACAAACAATTGCTGTCACAAAAAACTCTTCTAATGTGAACACAGATCGCCGATGTTGCTATTCAGCACGTGGTTCACCGGTTTCTCTTTTTTTTCTCTAACTCTTGAAAAATGTCTAAAAAATTTTACACTGTTTTTTAATAAAGTTATAAAAAAAAAGGTAAACATCTCTCGCTTAAAACTAAACTGCATCATGTGCTGGCAGTGAATAAATTGGCTATGGTGGAACGATACAGTTACATGTTCATGTTTGCATTTCAAACATGTTTGCGTTTCAAACTTGTTTCCATTTCAAATAAAACTTGCTCAAAGGATTTCTGGAAACAAGACCTATTGGATATTGTAATTCATCCCCTGGTGTGCAGTGCATCATGCGGTTCCTCTCCTCTCCTCTTTACCTTCCTTCCTACCCTACCTCTTTTTCTCTTTCTCTCTCTCTCTCTCTCTCTCTCTCTTTCTCCATTTCTCTTTCTCTCCATTCTTATCTCTCTCTTTCTCTCTCCACCCTTCTCTCTCTCTCTCTCTCTCTCTCTCTCTCTCTCTCTTTCTGGTCCTTCCTTTCGCTGGTTCGTCCCAAAGTTGAATGTTCCCAGCACCACCACACGCTGTTTTGGAGCTTTACACAATGGTAATTTATGAAATTTATAGAAACGACTGAATGTTGAATGAATGAATGAATAAATGAATGAATGAATGAATGAATGAATGAATGAATGAATGAACAATGAACGAACGAACGAACGAACGAACGAACGAACGAACGAATAAATGAATGAATGATGATTGAACGAACAAACAAAAGGAAAATAGAAAGTAAAAGAATAAGAACGTAAGAATGAATGAATGATGTTAAGATCCATATATCAATAACTCCTTCTCGGATCATTGACAATTTACGACATAAGCAATTTTCCTTCTGAATTCATCTCGATAAAACCAGCACCCGGTCTGCTGTTGTTTTTCTGCTATTGCTCTGTTGTTGTTGTTCATGTTTTTGTTGTCGTTTATATTGTGTTGTGTATGTTGTTGCAGTTTGTGTTGTGTTGTTTATTTTCTGTTGTTGTTCTTTACGTTGTTGTTCATGTTTTTGTTGTCGTTTATATTGTGTTGGTTATGCTGTTGTTGTTTGTGTTGTCGTCGTTGTTGTTTATTTTGTGTTGCGTTGTTGTTTTTGTAGTTGTTTATGTTGTGTTGTTTCTGTTTATGTTGCGTTGTGGTGTATATTTTGTTGTTGTTCATGTTGCGCTGTTGTTTACATTTTGTTGTTGTTTGTTGTTGTTTATGTTGTGTTTGTTGTTGTTGTTTATATTGTTGCTGTTTAGATTGTTTGGTGTGCAGTTGTTTACGTTGTTGTACTGTAGTAGTCTATGTTATTGTTTGTGTTGCTGTTTGTTGTTGTTGTTTGTGTTGTAAATTTCTGGGCAATTTTCATGTGGTGAAAACTTAGACGGTGCAATTTAAATCACGGACACAACACATGCCAGTGCAATTTTTCCTACCTATACCTGTCTATGTAGTCTGGAGTTTAATTTGAAACATTGAAAGAAGTGTAGTCGGCATTGTTGGAAAATTAATTTGAAAATATGAGTAGCTAAATAAATAAAAATTGTGAAACAAATTTAATGTGTTTTTATGACAATAAAAAACAAAGAAATATTTATAGAGAAAGCGTTTTCAAGGAACAAATGAAATATAATGTATTTTTCTATGTGTGTGTGTGTGCGCGCGCGCGCGCGTGTGTGTGTGTGTGTGGATTGCATGTAATAATTATAAATAATAATAAATAAATTATATATGCTAATATGGCAAAAGAGTTGATGTTTTTTGCTATCACAAAAAATATGAAATACAAAGATAATTTAATACTTTTAGCAGGATGCTGGCCAATGATAAAAATAATTTTTTACAATAATGCAAGCACCAAAGAACATTAATTTTTATAGCGCTTGCTTCTGTCGTTGTGATGAAAAATTCGTTGGAGGCTTGCAAGCGAAGAATTGTTTGTTCTTTGGTCTTCTCATTACGTCTTTTATCGGCTGCTTATTCTCTGTGTGTTGTTGTTAGTATTGGGTTGTTTTTGTTGTTGATTATTGATTTTATTGTTGTAGTTAACATTGTTATTGTTGTTGGTGTCGTCTTGAGTGAGTTGTTTTAATGTGTTTGTTTTAATGTTATGTTATTGTTGATGATCTTTTGTTGTTTAAAAAGTAGTTTCGTTGTTGTTGGGTGGGATATGTCTCTGTTGTTACGTTATGCATTTTGTGACACACCAGCCGGTTGGTAATTTTTTAACACTGTGTTGATGTTATTGTGGCTTGGCGTTCATCTTGCTATTTGATATTTTTTCGCTGATGTTTTGAGCAGCTGGAACATTTTTTGTTATTGAGACAGAAACATTAGTGGTAGCAGAAGCAGCAGTAGTAGCAGCAGTAGTAGCAGCAGCAGTAGCAGCAGCAGCAGCAGCAGTAGTAGCAGTAGTAGAAGCAGTACTCAGCACCTTGTTTGAGAACAATTTATCTGCAGCGGTCGTCAGTGATGCAATAATTGGCATGCATAAATTGACAGGCGGATGCACTTGATTTATTGCTTAATTAGGCATTCAACTCGCATACATTAGACTGACGCTACTGCTGTTCCTCTCTTTGCTTGCTCGCTTCCTTGCATAAATAAACAAAAAATAAATACAAATATATATTTATGTGATATTTATAAACACACGAACGAATAAAGAAACACACACACGCACGCACGTACGCACGTACACACAAACAGATATTGATACATATTTGTGTAGGTTCGTATATTTTTAATGAAGAATGTTAGCCGATATACAAAATTGACAATTGATAGCAGCTCAAGAGGTAGTTTCTTTTTATAAGTAAATAAATAGTGAAGTTAGATTGTAAGAGTATAACTATCACTGTGTAACAGCAAGGCTGGTGCAAGTAACTTAAGTAGTCAAATTCTGGGGTTACTGGAACAATGAAATGAGGATGGGATGGTCTTTCAAGGTTGGTTCACTTCAAATGCGTGTGCTCTAGTGATAGCTTACTTCATATCTTATATTTTGTCGGTGGAGTGTTTGAAAAGTTGTCTAAACCAGCCTAATGGGAAACTTTTGCTGAATCAATTTTTGTAAAATTTGAGGTGGTCATCAGATGAGGAAGATTGGAATAAAAATGAGGAGAGATAAAATTTCGATAAGTTTGCTTTTAGTTGTTATGGTCTTCGCACTTTCTTAAAAGTCGACAAATAAACGATAAACCATAAATTTATTCGTAACTATAAAGGGAACATGTTACAGAATCAAAATAAGCTAAACGAGAGTAACTGATAAGTAACTGAAAAAGATTTGAGTAAGAAATAACCGCGGCAGAAAAATTTATGAGGAAAGCGGGCTAACGTTCCTTTAGTTGTGCAAATAAATAATCAAAAGCCAGCAATTCCTAAACAAACTCTGGCGAAAAGGTATGACCTGAGGCCAGTGATGAAAATGTTCGCCGTTGAAGTTATTAGAAAAAAATTCTACTACCAATTTCGTG